TAACCGACTTGCCAAAACTATAGTTTGTTAACAAGAAACTTGTGAAGTGGTTGAAAAACAAGTTTTAATGACTCCAACCTAAGTGTATGTAAACTTCAGACTTCAACTGTATATCCAAGAAATGTGCAGATAACAAATTTAAATATCTCTGTCTTCCATTTTATTTACTTGTCTTATAGTTGCTGGGAAATGACTGTAGTAAAGGACACATAATCCCATATTGCTAAGAAACAGAAACTGTCCACCAAGGTCACCTGAATCATAATGCTAACAGGTTCACCATGTGTTCTAACCAGTGTGGGTATCCAGTGGGATGCCTAAGAGCAAAATTAATTAACTACTCTGTCGGAATGTTTTCATGCAATTGTTTTGTTAAAATCACAACCTGCAGTGTATGATAAGGTAAGAGAAGTCCAGTGGAAAACCCCAGTTAACCAGTTGGGTTGACCTGTTTGTTCAAAATGTGTTGCAGTATGCGTCTGCTGTAATATTGTACACCATACAACACATCTCAGAAGTTGTTCTTCTTATGGACATTGCGAAACAACATTTGTCCTTAAATACACTGAAATACAATTTTTCTTTAGAAACTCGCAAAACAGTGCCCAAACATGTTACAACAGAGAATGACAGTTCATCTTTATCAGGGAATGAGTGAATCATGGTATTCACCTGGAATTATCCTGTCAGTCAGAGCAAACACTGGGCCAATGCTGGAAGACGAGTTTGTCTTCAGGACCCCTTTCATCTGGTTCTGAGGCATATCAGATGAATTCACAACTACAGGGCTGAATGCCAGGGTTGGGGGTCAATTCCATATTAATTTCAAATACAATTCTTCAATTTATTCATGAAGTGGAGAATTTACGTTGAATTCAATTCTAATTTCAACATTCTTGAAGGTATGGAATTGGAATTGTAAATTTCTCAGTTAATGGAATTAATGCACAGAGTATCATTTCAACGTGTATTTCTATATTTCCAGTATTCTGTAGCTAGGCTGTCTGAACAGTGACATTATCAGTCTGAAAGCCTGAGGGAGTTAAATTCGAATTGGAATTTGTGGAATTGTTGGGGAAGATATTTAATTACGAATGACATTTTTGGAATTTACCTAACATTGGAATTGAGAAATTGAATTATCTCTGAATTCAAAGACTGACCTGTAATTTGAATTAAATTAAATGGAATTTACAGGGAGAGGGAATTGATTTAGAATTGAATTTGTGGAATTAACCCCAACCCGGCTGAGTACAAAAACTGGTTTTGAGGCACATCAGATTGATCCACATCTATAAGGCTGAGTACATACTCTTTATTTTAATGAGATTCACACGTATGTATCCACACCTATAGGGCTGAGTACATACTCTTAATTTTTTACAATAATGAGATTCACATGTAGGGGTTCTGACACGCTGGCCTTGGTGTGTGCGCGCACACGCACTCAAAACCTGCAAAAACATTCAAGTTGAGATTCGATCATGCATGAAGCAGAAGTGGGAAAAGTGGAGGAGAACAAGGAGGGCATTGAGGTGACACATGCTCTCACTCTCAATCCACTATTTTAAAAGCCCAATTCAATTAACCTGCTTTCACTTGCATCTCACAACTTGCACTTACGGCAAATCCACAATTTGTTGTTGTTGTTGGTAAAGCCGCCAGTCATCCTTTCTCCAGTTTTGACAGAGGTAAGTAAACACCCAGAACTGGCAGGCCATGCATGGCATACTCCATAGAGATAAAACACAATGTTATAAATATTATACATATATTAGTATTACATTGAATACTTGTAAACAATGTTCCCTCTAAACTGTGCGCAGGCGCGCATTTCACCTCGGACTGCCGCGCAGAAGATATATGAGCCAGCGCAGAGAAGCACGAGATTGAACTTCGCTCAACTTTCTACAGTTTTCCCCTTTAGTTAACACTATCAACGTTTTGCTCTACTGTGGCAATTGCGATCGAATCAATGCAATATTAGCCACTTTCAATGTAATATACCGAAACAAAACGAAATATGCAATATTTAGCATGCAAAACGAACTGTGCAAGAGACTTTCTTGTAGGCAGAGCACATTGGAGTAGGATTTTATTGCATTGACAGGCACGTCTCAAGGCCCATATTCTACACAGACCAGTGAATCAGAGCTGCAGTAGGCCTATATGCAAATAGCCATTGCCATATATGGATCTGTGCCATTCTCTTTGAACTGGACTGTGTATAGGCTGCAATATGAGCGGTCGAGAGTAGATGCGCTTGTTTTGAGATCAAAGTGAGAGCTGCATGTAGCCACGTGTGCACATTTGTTCATATTCTTTGCTAGTTAGTGAGTTATTAGCCCAGTTATAGCTCATTTCTAGTCAACAATGGGGAGTGGTTGCTTCCAACAAGAGCACAAAATGTGTGCACTTCTATCCATCTTTGAAAAGCGAGTCAGGTAAAGAGCTTTTTTATGTCTTTAAGGGGAAGTGTTGTATTTTGAGATGGTCTTGAATAAACTATGTAGCCAATAGGCAGATCGTAGCATAATTGTCTGATTCTCTGTAATAATGGAATGGGAATAATAATGAATTTTATTTTGTAAAGTGGTTTCTTGCATCAAACATTTTTAGTCACCTTGTCTGAAGGATAAAGTGGATAAACAGGTTCATGTCAAGCCCTTAATGTTTTAATTGTAATGGCCTACATTGAACACCACACATTGGCTGCTACTGTAGGCTGATCGATAGAACAGCTATTTTCATGTTAAAATGTTATGAGATGCGTTTTTCTCCATTGTTTTTGATGGTAGGCCACTCTGGTAGGCCTACATTATGATCAAATAGCCACAGTAGTCTACTTGGCCACTGTTAAAACTGTAACTTCAAGCGGGTACAGCCTCAGTGTTCACAATAACCAAGAGATGGAAGTTGCACAGAATTTTCACAATGTTCAAGTTTGTGCTCAGCAGACCTGACATTTGCTCAGTGCCCAAAATAATTAGAGGGAACATTGCTTGTAAATGGATGGAACTGACCTCAACACTTGAATGTTGTGTAGCAATAATAATAAGCTGTGTGTTATAGTCATGTTGACAGAACTCCTAGGTCTTGGCACAAGATCACCTGGTCCCATAGAAATAAAATAAGAGTTATAAACGTCTAATAAACGTCTGAAGCACATGTGCAGTCAGTCTCTGAGATTACAATCATAGTCAAGTCACAACCCTCCTTTTTTTGCAAAGACAAAGGAACACAGCCATATGCTGCAATGCTTAGAATAAACTGTGGCAGACATAAGGATGGGATAGGGCCATGATACCCACTGTGAACAGTATGGTTTCACAGCTGTGTTATAGACGTGGTCACTGACAGCTGAATGCACTTGGACAGTCTTTAGATGGTTGTTATATGTATTTGTGACCATCCTTATCGAGCTATGAATATGAATGTGCTACTTGATTCTTTAAATGTTTTATGTAGCTGACGATTGTTATTGGCAATCTCAATGGTCATGTAGGTCAACTGTTATTCTTGAATGTGACCCGGGAATCCCCTTTCCGTTTCTGAAGCGGTTGAAAGCCAATGAAGTTAAGTGAGCTGAAACTGTACACGTTTTTCTTCACTGCAAAAGGGGCTTTTACACAGCTTTTCACACACTATTGATTTACTTTAACAACTAGCCTAAATATCTCTGCAGATATAGCCTGCATTCCATGGTGGTTCCTTCAAGGGAGAATTCTAATGTCGATGTTTAGGTAATGATGCACCTTTCTTTCTTCAAGGAGGACAAGAGATTAATGAAATGTAGCACATCCACAAATAACTAATCTATCCACCAAATCTACAGATGAAGCTACTCTCTCTAATTTAATATTTGGCCTATTAGGACCAATTAGTTTATACAATAAAGTATTTATTTAGCTGAAGGGAGAGGGTTCAACTTCCCTGGAACCCAAAGGTATACAGTATTATTACACTCTTAATATGAAACCTCTTGCAAGGCAACAGATACACTGATTGGTTTGGGATTTGAATTTCAATGCACTAAGCATGTACAAGAAGAATCCCTACAGACAATCACAACAAAATAATATATATTTCCATATTCTATCCCAAGACATTTCACAGATATACACTGAGTGTACAACACATTAAGGACAGCTGCTCTTTCCATGACATAGACTGACCAGGTGAATCCATGTGAAAGCTATGATCCCTTATTGATGTCACTTGTAAATTCCACTTCAGTCAGTGTAGATGAGACAGGTTAAATAAGTATTTGTAAGCCTTGAGACAATTGAGACATGGATTGTGTATGTGTGCCATTCAGAGGGTGAATGGGCAAGACAAAATATTGAAGTGCCTTTGAACGGGGTATGGTAGTAAGTGCCAGGCGCACTGGTTTGTGTCAAGAACTGCAAGGCTGCTGGGTTTTTCACACTTAACAGTTCTCATGTGTATCAAGAATGGTCCACCACCAAAAGGACATCCATCCAACTTGACACAACTGTGGGAAGCATTGGAGTCAACATGGGATTCCACATCCCTGTGGAACACGCCGTCCATGCGCCGACAAATTGAGGCTGTTCTGAGGGCAAAAGGGGCGGGGTGCAACTCAATATTAGGAAGGTGTCCTTAATGTTTTGTACACTCAGTGTATATTGTTGGATCTAAACACTTGTTTTTTTCATCTAATTTGGCAGTTTAGGAAGTAGATGCTCATCTAAATCTCCATGTATTGACTGTCATTTTGGCAATTCTGATGTTGCTGAATGTAGCCTACTTTTAGAACCATTACGGACTAATAATTGTGTGCTGCCATCTTGTGGTAAATGCTGCACCTTGTTTGCACAGACTTTTCATTCCATGGCGAAAGTTAGAGAGTACGATCCACATACCGAGAACAACTTCATGTGATCAATGACTAACACAAACACATATCAACAAAAACAATAAATGAGTATGAGAACCGACTTGTAGCAATAGCAATAACATGTTTCTATCTGAAATCACTGCATGTCTCGCATCCTGTCGAAGGAAAGCGGTGTGAACTTGTACCCAGATCCTTTGTAGAACTTGTTTTGGAATTCAACCCTGTAAAAGACAAATGACAGAAAAACATAACCTTTGGAAATATAATTCAAGTGTAATTCACTTCTTGTTATATTCTTTACATCAGATTAGGTGAAACAACTGTGATTAATGACTGCTGCCATTGCCGCTTCAGTTGTGTCAATAAGCTCAAGGTCTGTATGTGAGCTATATCAGGTGTGTGAGTGCGCGTTTGTGTGTGCATAGATGCATGCGTGTTTGTGTTGCTTGTCCCTACCAGTGCAGCCGTAGGGCGTGGAGGAAGGCAGAAAGACCCTCCATGACCAGGAGGATGGTGACGGTGAGGACAGCGAAGACAGCAAAGGTCACAGCCAGCAGAACAGAGCCCATCCCCGAGGTAACCCTCAGAGCCACCTGCAGAACCATCTTCCACAGCACCTCAGACAGCTCTACACAGACAACATACACAGGAACATAGAATACAGTTAAATTAATTTGAACATAACAGGTGACGGCAGGTAGCCTAGCGGTTAAGAGCATTGGTCCACATTCTTCTCCTGGAATGATTGTTATTGAGGTTTATTCTCTCCACCATTTTATGTCATCCTTTTCATTTTGGGGATCAGAAAGTCGAAGAGGCACGGTCATAACCATAACAGCCACATGGATATAGCTTTTAATGCGTGGGACACTTTAATTGCAAAGAGGTAAAGTGTTGTGCAGCATAATACCCTACCAGCATGAGCTAGACTGAGAGCCCACAGGCGAAGGTAGGAGGCTGTGTTGGAGATGCAGCCAAGGCAGTACTCGATGGTGTGGATGCCCTGGTACACAAAAATGTCACCCATACTGACCTGCAATGAGAAAAAAGCTTGAGTAGATGTTTTTATTCACGCCAAAGAAAAGTGAAAGACAAAACAGTACAGATAATAAACTGGTAAAGACTGTGTGCAGGTGAGGTTGGAAGCCCAAAAGGGCTGATATGAAAACCACACCACAAATATAAGTACAAAACCTTTTTCTTTATTAAATCAGTTAAACAGCATATTAATTATAATTGTACATAAATAAATAATATGCCATTTAGCAGACGCTTTTATCCAAAGCGACTTACAGTCATGCGTGCATACTTTTTTTTTTGTGTATGGGTGGTCCCGGGGATTGAACCCACTACCTTAGCGTTACAAGCGCCGTGCTCTACCAGCTGAGCTACAGAGGACCACCATATACTCAGTAAACAAGAAAAAAACATGTTTGATTATATATGAGAGAGAGAGATTTCATCACTTTGCTACAGACAAATTGAATATGATCCAGGAAAACTTTTCATCAATTAGAACTCTGAGGAATCTAGTGGATGTGACTAGTTCCATTTCATTCCCACCAACTGAGATTCTAGCTCTTTTTTATTTTCTTTACAATATTTCTTATTTTTACTAGTGAATAAAATAATGTTGGATTTTTTAACATTTAAAGATCATTTGTTTATCTGGAACCATTCAGAAAATTTGGCCATACCTGAATTGGCTTAATTAATTAGTGAATCAAAATTCGTATGTGATAAAATGTAATTGGTATCATCAGCAAAGAGAATGGGAAGTATGGTAGAAGACACAGCAGCAAGGTCATTGATATAGATTAGTTATAAGAAAAGGTCCAATTATAACACCACAGGATATCTTGGCCCTTGTAGATGCACAGCCGTTTGCATAAACAAATTGTTCCATAAACATAACTATATGTTGTGGTTAATATTGAAATAAAAATAACCATGATAAATTACAGAACATATTTTCTGACCATGTATATTTATTTATAAACATTGTTGTTTTAGAAGTGACTTACCTTCTCTTTCCTGTTATCTGAAGCCTCCTGGTTGGAGATCCCAAAAACCTGCATGGGAAACTTGTTTATTGAGGGCTTCTGTTGGAATAATTTGTATATTAAGTTTCACTAAAATATGTATTTTCATGGCAGTTATATAGGCAAGTACAGTCTACTTACAGAGTACACATTGACATGAACAAACTGCCTTGTCAATCCAATACTTTTGCTTTACCAACGTCTACTTATAATGCATGATTCTAGTCTAGTTTACTTACCAGCTTTGATTGCTTGTGTTCTCTATACAAGAGCAGGGTCTTGGCAAACAGTAGCCAAGGCACCATAAGCACAGCAACAACCACCAGAAATATTTGCACAGGTTTCTGTATGATAAAAATAAAACATGAGAAAATGACCGTTTTCGCTTAGAACTGAATGCATATCGAGGTTTCGGTTGCATCTGGACATAGGAGACTATCCTCTATTGTGTACAAATGCATACATTACATGGAAACTATTTATGTGGTTTCCTTGGATGAAAAACACAATTACATTATGTCACTTAGCAGAGTCTTCTATCCAAAACCACTTAAAGTACTGTGAATGCATACATTTTGAGTATGTGTCTGTGTTCCAATCCGGGAAATGAACCCACAAATGATATTTTATGAACCCATGATATTTTAGGTTGAAGAAACCCATTGTACCTGTGTTGTGTAAAGCACAGCACCCTCAGAGCCGTAGTCAAAGAGTATCATGTTGATGAAGAGGAGCAGGATGCTAGGAGCAGATTCAGACTTTATCGCCACACACCACTTGTAGAGAATGAGGAAGATCAGGTACCCAAACAGAGACAGCATGAAAATCACCTCTGGAATGAACTGCAACGCGATGTCCTTTAGGTTTCTGAAGAATCTGCAATGAAACGATACAGATGATGGAAGTCTTCTGTTGGAGGCAATAACTTGGCACTACATTTTAAGTGACAGTGTATTGGTTTATCATAAACAGTACTGTACACAGTGTTTTAGTAAGTGCTGTAGTTCTCCTGGAAAAATACATGTACTTTGCTTTATTACCCTGTTACTCTTACATGTAATTATCACAGTGATACTACTGCCTCTGTGTCAGTATTAAGGACTTGCCAGACAGGAAGCGGTGACAGAGTTTCCCATTCACTTTCAAAGGAGCTAGGTGGGGGGGGGGGGGGGGGGGGAATTCTATCCAGGTGGAGCAGTCGGCGGTGCTTATGAACGTGAAAGCCGCCTGGCGGAGGCGGAGAAAATAGGAATCTGCTCTATTTTGGCAAACTTGGCGAGTTTCGCTTCCTGTCTGGAAAGCACTTTACTTACATGTAGTTCACCAGACTCAGAGTGACTCCAAAGAGCATGTGGGCCACTCCCATTATAACAGACATCTTCATCTTGTAAGAGTTCAGGAACGACAGCTTATTCGATGCAATATTCCAAATCTGTATCAGACATCAGTTTGAAATAGAGAAAGTCTGATCAGGTTACATCGTATATAAGATCATTCTTAATAAAAGTTCAATAACAGCGACCCAGCTGGTTAAGAACTTAGTACTCAAGCATTTATAATACACAATAAAAACAAAACACACGAAAGAAAGAAACAAAACCCAGAATAAAATACACTGAAGGAAAGCCTACCTTATGGAGTAGCAGAGAAAAGCGCTACTCATGACATGACACAAAAAATGGTCCATGGACAGTAAAATAATGACGATGAAAACAATGCTATTCACTTTTATCACAACAGCAAATAGAGAGAAAAGTATTTGACCCTTTGCCCTTTGACCTCAAATCTATGTGGGGTTAGATGGTTAGAAGAGTTTGCACACACTAACCGGGTCAACACCGAATGGGTAGGGATTGCCAGAGTAGACTCCAGACACCAGGGGGTCCAGATGAAGATGGCCAGAGTCATGCAACGTCTCATTACTGGGGAGAAAGCACAAAAACAAACATACAATTTACATTCTTATTCCAACTAACTAATTCTATTACCGCTTTATTACATTTACGTCATTTAGCAGACGCTCTTATCCAGAGCGACTTACAGGAGCAATTAGGGTTAAATGCCTTGCTCAAGGGCACATCGACAGATTTTTTTTTTCTTCACCTAGTCGGCTCGGGGATTAGAACCAGCGACCTTTCGGTTACTGGCACAACGCTCTTAACCACTAAGCTACCTACTCTATTTCCTGCTTTAATAAAGGAGCAAACGCACGTCCACGGTCCGTGTGGATGGAACATGGGTCTGACGCTCCACGAGGATCCAAAGAGGTTGAAGGACTTGGAGAAGCAGTCGTTGTAGATGAGGCCAGTGTATATGGAGAAGAGGCCCATCAGGAAGATAATGTAGCGTCCTCCCACCAGCATGTCAATCAGCTGCAGGGACGAGTAACTAACGTTACAGTCAAAACAATGCACCACATTGTCTTTCAATGTTAGTGTAGTTGTAACACATTTAAAAATAAATATATATATTTTTTAAATCCACTAAAACTATGGTTTCCTGATAATAAAATATTCTAAAGTTGACTTTTCACCTGTGGCACTTAAACACCACAAGTGACGGACATCAATACTATTAATCCTCAGGGCTCAGACAGAGCGCTCTTCATACCTCGTTCTTCAGCTTCCTGAAGTGTTCTTGGTGTAGGATCAACCATAGAGCGAGCAGAGTCATGACGAGACCGTGACCACAGTCTCCAAACATGACCGCAAACAGGAAAGGGAATGTCACCATGGTGTACGGAGCTGAAAGACATCACATTCAAACATGAAATCAACAGTTGTGCTCTGCCAAAACGACTTTGGAAGGACTTCTCTTTTATTTACAATATTAGTAACAGCAAAAAAAAGGAAAACATAAGCTAATAAGATCTGGGTCAGTCACATTATGTCAAATACTTTCAAATACAGATGTAGGATCTTAATTTGAGCCAGTTTGCTACAGCAGGAAAATAATCCTGCAGTAACAGGAAATGTGAATTATTATGTGGATTATAATGAATTAAAATGTTTGTAGAGGTAGATACATTTTTCATAAAGGAAAATAAAGTCTGAAATTTCTACCGGAAATTACAAACTTCAGAAGCATTTTAAATCTCAAATACACTACAAGTTTTACATTTCTTGCATTGCAGGTTCTCCTGCAACAGGGTGATCAAATGGAAGTCCCCAAAGTGCAAACTCCAATGTAAATCAAGCGCACACAGGAGATAGTGGTGTTGTTACCTGGGTTTATTTCCTGATAGTTGCCGACCCCATAGGCATCAACGATGCTCTGGAAACCTGAGGTAAAGGAGTTAACCCTGTTGAAGGTTGGGGGTGTCTGCTTGGTTTGGATTCTGTTCACGACGGGGCTAAGACTGGAGCCGCTCTGCTCCTAATGTTAAAAGAGCACAGACACACACACAAGAAATATACACACACATTCCATTTACAAAAATCTGTGCTTACACCCTGAATGCTTAGTAATTAAAGCAAGTTCGGGATACTTACTGATCCCTTTATCAGTGCAGTGTGCACAGAGTTTAAGTCAGACACTGGACACCAAATCTCAGCAACAATCAGCTTCTGTGTGATGTCTATGTTACACAGGTTCAGTGTGTAATAGATGGCCTTCATCTTCTTGACTTTAGTGGTCCACTCCTGGAGGTCGGCTGCTGCTGCATTCAGGGCAGTCGCACGGAACTCCTCGGTCCTCTTCAGGACCTGACAGAAGTTTAATGACCAGAAAGAAAGGAAAGTATTCTGTTTTCTTCCATCCCTCTTACGTAAAATATTGTTCTCCTTCCATCTGTGACATTACATTACGACTAATTAAGGCAGGATAGCGAAAGTCCTGACACACTACTGATATGTAATGTATGTATTAAGATGCATATCCAAGACTGATGAAAGCTGATCAAAGTTATGCAGCTTCATTGCCAAAGGGTTCAATAATGGACTTTTACCAATCGAAGGTCTTCAATGCGTGTGTTGGCGTTTGTTCTCATCTCCTTTCTTGCGTACGCATTGTTGGGACATGGATACATGCTGGCATGAAACCTGAAGTAGAACATAATATTTATATTTTTTGGTTAATTTACTTATTTTCAAGGCTTTTGACATACTCAAGGGATCTTTCACTCACCCATCACATAACTTTCTGATCTTTCCTCTGACCTGGTCTCCTTGGACAAATATTACGAACACGTCCTTCTTCTCTAGATCCTCCTGTGAGCATAAAACAATGTTTGTTTACTCAACACGCATCTGCCATTATAAGCTATTGAACAACCTTTTATGGTTGTTTGCCTCAAAATAGAGGAGATAATTATGTTTGAACATGTGCTTATTAGTGAACTTTTCCCTTACAGCCATGTTCTCCTCCTCATGGGGCTTGATTTCAGCATGGCGGAGGACAAAGTTTCCATGAAACAGTCGCCACAGGATCTTTTCGAAGGCAGGGAAACGTTCATGTTTGATGACTCCTGCTACAAATCTGCCATGGGGATACAAGAGGAAGGCATCATGCTACCCAGTTGGCAAAAATACGTTGTTACTTCATCTGGTTATCTGACGTCTCTACAACCAGATAGCAACCTGAAAATGGTGGTGGCTCCTACTTTAAACCAATTCCAGTGGGGTTTTTTGTGTGTGGTTAGCCTGACTAGTAAAATAAGGCTAATAATTCACCCAAGTTTCAGGGGTCCATTGGTGCTGGTGTAACTGGTGCGTCGGCTTGTCATCCTGGAAGAGTACACCGAGTCTTCAGAAGGAAGCTCAGAGATGGAAAGCTGGGACTCAGCCTATAGGCACAACATAAGAAACAGGACTGTTTATGCTATCATTCTTTATGACATTCTTATCTTTCCGTCTTGCCATCCCATTATTTGTTAGGAGGACATAAGTCAAATGCAGTCCGCTATTTACCTCCTCAAAAAAGTCATCAGTCATCTGCAGGAGATGGTTGATCTCCATTAGTTGAGTGAAGTTCTGCCTGAGGGTGTCTCGGTTTGAGTTGATCTCCTTCAGCTCCTTCTCCAGTTTATCAAAGCTAGACTGTAACATACATGAAGAAAAGGGGATCCCAAAATGAGTTTATTGTATTAAATGATAGTAGTTGGACTAAATTGGTATAAACAAGTTAGATTAACATCAAACACCTTTTTACAAAAACCGATAACTAGCCTACTGGGTTTGCTGCACTCGTTATGTCTAGGGGTCTTAGGCCTAGCTACATAGTCTGTAGCTTGATTGGATGTGTGCATAAATGTGAGATGTAAGCATATGCGACCAGGTGTTCAGTACCCGGAAGACAGCCACCTTACCACAGGTCCAGGGCCAGTTCAGTCATGACTCCCATCATCGGCCAGTCCAAGCAGATTAGTATTCGTTCAAATAAATAAATATATACAAAAAGAAAACTACAAAGAGGAATGCCTAAACTAAAGAGGTTAACCAACACAAAACAACTCCAAACAAGCCATGAGGCCTCTGGTCATGCATTGCCAATCAACCTGATTGGCGCCACCTGTTGTGCTTCCTGACAGAGTACAGCCCTTGACCCGGTTGGTGCTGCCACCTGGGGATGGAGTGTGGAAGTGCATCCTGGTAGTGTGTTTGTCTATGTCCTAACACTAACCTTCCCCCCATATCATAACACTAATCAAGCTAGACTTTAACATACATGTAGAAAAGGGGATCGCAAAATGAGTTTATTGTATTTAATGGTAATCATTGGCCTAACTTGGTATAAACAAGTTAAATCAAACTAATGATGACACGGCTGGGAAATAAACTAGTGACCAACTGTGAGAGCAAGCATCTTACCTCTAAATCCAGAACATCTCGTGGAAGATGTATTCTCTCACTGGTAAAGTCTGCCGGGATGTGGATGTTTGATTTGACAACCTCATTTTTCAAGAACCCTAGTAGAAATGAGCCCAATGTTTAGAGAGGGGATATTCTAGGTATTTATTTAGAAGGGGCTTTCGTCCAGACTCCTATTTAAATCTACCTTTAAAAACAACATACTTACGAAGAATTCTCTCCATCTCCTCACATTTCTTCACCTCCTTCACAAATCTGCGCTGAAAGGCAACTGTTCCAGGATTTAGCTAAAACATATGAAAATATATACAGTGGGGGAAAAAAGTATTTAGTCAGCCACCAATTGTGCAAGTTCTCCCACTTAAAAAGATGAGAGAGGCCTGTAATTTTCATCATAGGTACACGTCAACTATGACAGACAAAATGAGAAGAAAAAAATCCAGAAAATCACATTGTAGGATTTTTAATGAATTTATTTGCAAATTATGGTGGAAAATAAGTATTTGGTCAATAACAAAAGTTTCTCAATACTTTGTTATATACCATTTGTTGGCAATGACACGGGTCAAACGTTTTCTGTAAGTCTTCACAAGGTTTTCACACACTGTTGCTGGTATTTTGGCCCATTCCTCCATGCAGATCTCCTCTAGAGCAGTGATGTTTTGGGGCTGTCGCTGGGCAACACAGACTTTCAACTCCCTCCAAAGATTTTCTATGGGGTTGAGATCTGGAGACTGGCTAGGCCACTCCAGGACCTTGAAATGCTTCTTACGAAGCCACTCCTTCGTTGCCCGGGCGGTGTGTTTGGGATCATTGTCATGCTGAAAGACCCAGCCACGTTTCATCTTAAATGCCCTTGCTGATAGAAGGAGGTTTTCACTCAAAATCTCACGATACATGGCCCCATTCATTCTTTCCTTTACACGGATCAGTCGTCCTGGTCCCTTTGCAGAAAAACAGCCCCAAAGCATGATGTTTCCACCCCCATGCTTCACAGTAGGTATGGTGTTCTTTGGATGCAACTCAGCATTCTTTGTCCTCCAAACACGACGAGTTGAGTTTTTACCAAAAAGTTATATTTTGGTTTCATCTGACCATATGACATTCTCCAAATCCTCTTCTGGATCATCCAAATGCACTCTAGCAAACTTCAGACGGGCCTGGACATGTACTGGCTTAAGCAGGGGGACACGTCTGGCACTGCAGGATTTGAGTCCCTGGCGGCGTAGTGTGTTACTGATGGTAGGCTTTGTTACTTTGGTCCCAGCTCCCTGCAGGTCATTCACTAGGTTCCCCCTTGTGGTTCTGGGATTTTTGCTCACCGTTCTTGTGATCATTTTGACCCCACGGGGTGAGATCTTGCGTGGAGCCCCAGATCGAGGGAGATTATCAGTGGTCTTGTATGTCTTCCATTTCCTAATAATTGCTCCCACAGTTGATTTCTTCAAACCAAGCTGCTTACCTATTGCAGATTCAGTCTTCCCAGCCTGGTGCAGGTCTACAATTTTGTTTCTGGTGTCCTTTGACAACTCTTTGGTCTTGGCCATAGTGGAGTTTGGAGTGTGACTGTTTGAGGTTGTGGACAGGTGTCTTTTATACTGATAACAAGCTCAAACAGGTGCCATTAATACAGGTAACGAGTGGAGGACAGAGGAGCCTCTTAAAGAAGAAGTTACAGGTCCGTGAGAGCCAGAAATCTTGCTTGTTTGTAGGTGACCAAATACTTATTTTCCACCATAATTTGCAAATAAATTAATTAAAAATCCTACAATGTGATTTTCTGGAATTTTTTCTCTCATTTTGTCTGTCATAGTTGACGTGTACCTATGATGAAAATTACAGGCCTCTCTTATCTTCTTAAGTGGGAGAACTTGCACAATTGGTGGCTGACTAAATACTTTTTTCCCCCACTGTACTTCAATTGGCTGACGTGTTAGCTGTTAGTGATTTCAGTGTAAACTATTTTATCATATTCTGTGTGAAGTGTTTAACTTACATTTTCGTCATTTAGCAGACGCTCTTATCCAGAGCGACTTACAACTTCAATAGAAAACAAAAACTCACACTGACCCAAGTACTGTAACCAAACTGAATTGCTCCGGGTTGAAGTTCCTCTGTACAGATCTAGGCTCAGCTTCCCCTCCCCCAACATAAATTATAAATCACGTTCTAATACGATCAGTTATGTAATTTCATTCAAGTAAGTATGCGTAAAAGTAACAGTTTGTTTTTGCATGGTGAATGTGTAATTGTTGGTTTGTGCACAAACATAATGAAATATTTTTGGGAAGGCTTTATACAGGCAACATCTATTAACCTTAATGTGAGAGGGCAATCGATAGGCCTACACTTGTTTTACACTTTATCTCCACGTTTCACATGTTATTTGTCATTAGAACGCACAAGAATTTGGATAGTTCCAACTTTTTCCTTTAATGACTCTATATTATTTAAACTTACAGTAATGTGTCAATATCAATCCAGTGTACATGGTGGAATCAATATGTATTAGACTGGCATGCAGCTAACTGGATGTGACCTTCATACCATTAGCCATATTGTGCTCGGTTTAACATGTTTATCCCATTTATGGGCTATTTCAACTTTTTTTTTTTACTTCTACTAATACCCAATACTTGAAAATGTTTGAAAAAGTAATACTAAAAAAGGGTTAGGCGAGAAACCTCGAATGTAAAGAACTTTCTGTTAATATAGTTTAGTTATTATAGTATATACCACGTTTCCATTCGTTTATCTGGAAATGTGATTGTTTTTACTCACATCTTTAAATTGCACCAGTCCTAGATGCCCAAGCTCATTGATGCAGTTGTGAGCTGACTCCGTTTGGAAAAACAGCTGGACAAGACACATCTCTTCACTCCGAAAAAAGGAATCCATCTTTAAATCAAACTAGTCCTGATTTGACTTAGGCGATCCTATAACAAAACCATGTGTTGTGCTCTTAGAATAACAACATTCACAGCAAGTGCCTCACATTTCTAATACATGCTAGACTACCCTTCAATGTGTCTTTTGAAGGGAAGTCCAAACATGAAATGGAAAGAGTGGTTGTGTCATCAGGATCAATAATGACACTGCTGCTGTGGTACCCACCAACACCACATGGTATCCTGAGCCTGTGCCGTATAAGGGCTGAGTGAGCCATGGAGATGAGCCATTTGATCAAATCAAATCAAATCACATTTTATTTGCCACATACACGTGTTTAGCAGATGTTATTGCGGGTGTAGCGAAATGCTTGTGCTTCTAGCTCCGACAGTGCAGTAATATCTAATAAGGGTTAGGCTACTCTCGAGGCAAACTGCTACAGAAAGACAGTGCCATAATATTGACGTTATAAAGTGACTGTCCGCTTGAGTGTTTTGAATATAACGCTTTTTAGAAATTGTGTAATTGGGAATCTGTGAAATGATTTGTTAAGAATAACATGACCTAGAAATAATACATTGAACATGTATTGGTAAAATGTATATCTGTATTCTCCATCTGCCAGATACAGTGGGGGAAAAAGTATTTAGTCAGCCACCAATTGTGCAAGTTCTCCCACATAAAAAGATGAGAGAGGCCTGTAATTTTCATCATAGGTACACGTCAACTATGACAGACAAATTCAGGAAAAAAAATCCAGAAAATCACATTGTAGGATTTTTAATGAATTTATTTGCAAATTATGGTGGAAAATAAGTATTTGGTCAATAACAAAAGTTTCTCAATACTTTGTTATATACCCTTTGTTGGCAATGACACGGGTCAAACGTTTTCTTTAAGTCTTCACAAGGTTTTCACACACTGTTGCTGGTATTTTGGCCCATTCCTCCATGCAGATCTCCTCTAGAGCAGTGATGTTTTGGGGCTGTCACTGGGCAACACAGACTTTCAACTCCCTCCAAAGATTTTCTATGGGGTTGAGATCTGGAGACTGGCTAGGCCACTCCAGGACCTTGAAATGCTTCTTACGAAGCCACTCCTTCGTTGCCCGGGCGGTGTGTTTTGGATCATTGTCATGCTGATAGACCCAGCCACGTTTCATCTTCAATGCCCTTGCTGATGGAAGGAGGTTTTCACTCAAAATCTCATGATAAATGGCCCCATTCATTCTTTCCTTTACACGGATCAGTCGTCCTGGTCCCTTTGCAGAAAAACAGCCCCAAAGCATGATGTTTCCACCCCCATGCTTCACAGTAGGTATGGTGTTCTTTGGATGCAACTCAGCATTCTTTGTCCTCCAAACACGACGAGTTGAGTTTTTACCAAAAAGTTATATTTTGGTTTCATCTGACCATATGACATTCTATAATAATAATAAATAAATAATATGCCATTTAGCAGACGCTTTTATCCAAAGCGACTTACAGTCATGCGTGCATACATTTGGATGATCCTCTTCTGGATCATCCAAATGCACTCTAGCAAACTTCAGACGGGCCTGGATATGTACTGGCTTAAGCAGTGGGACACGTCTGGCACTGCAGGATTTGAGTCCCTGGCGGCGTAGTGTTTTACTGATGGTAGGCTTTGTTACTTTGGTCCCAGCTCTCTGCAGGTCATTCACTAGGTCCCCCCTGTGTGGTTCTGGGATTTTTGCTCACCGTTCTTGTGATCATTTTGACACCACGGGGTGAGATCTTGCGTGGAGCCCCAGATCGAGGGAGATTATCAGTGGTCTTGTATGTCTTCCATTTCCTAATAATTGCTCCCACAGTTGATTTCTTCAAACCAAGCTGCTTACCTGTTGCAGATTCAGTCTTCCCAGCCTGGTGCAGGTCTACAATTTTGTTTCTGGTGTCCTTTGACAGCTCTTTGGTCTTGGCCATAGTGGAGTTTGGAGTGTGACTGTTTGAGGTTGTGGACAGGTGTCTTTTATACTGATAACAAGTTCAAACAGGTGCCATTAATACAGGTAACGAGTGGAGGACAGAGGAGCCTCTTAAAGAAGAAGTTACAGGTCTGTGAGAGCCAGAAATCTTGCTTGTTTGTAGGTGACCAAATACTTATTTTCCACCATAATTTGCAAATAAATTCATTAAAAATCCTACAATGTGATTTTCTGGATTTTCTTTCCTCAATTTGTCTGT